TTTTACAGTTGTAATAAAGAGTATATAGAACTCTGTTAGTTATTATAAATATACAGGATACAGTAAATATTTTACAGTTGTAATAAAGAGTATATAGAACTCTGTTAGTTATTATAAATATACAGGATACAGTAAATATTTCACAGTCGTAATAAAGAGTATATAGAACTCTGTTAGTTATTATAAATATACAGGATACAGTAAATATTTCACAGTTGTAATAAAGAGTATATAGAACTCTGTTAGTTATTATAAATATACAGGATACAGTAAATATTTTACAGTTGTAATAAAGAGTATATAGAACTCTGTTAGTTATTATAAATATACAGGATACAGTAAATATTTTACAGTTGTAATAAAGACTATATAGAAGTCTGTTAGTTATTATAAATATACAGGATACAGTAAATATTTCACAGTCGTAATAAAGAGTATATAGAAGTCTGTTAGTTATTATAAATATACAGGATACAGTAAATATTTCACAGTTGTAATAAAAAATATATAGAACTCTGTTAGTTATTATAAATATACAGGATACAGTAAATATTTCACAGTCGTAATAAAGTCTATATAGAACTCTGTTAGTTATTATAAATATACAGGATACAGTAAATATTTTACAGTCGTAATAAAGACTATATAGAAGTCTGTTAGTTATTATAAATATACAGGATACAGTAAATATTTTACAGTCGTAATAAAGAGTATATAGAAGTCTGTTAGTTATTATAAATATACAGGATACAGTAAATATTTTACAGTCGTAATAAAGACTATATAGAAGTCTGTTAGTTATTATAAATATACAGGATACAGTAAATATTTTACAGTCGTAATAAAGACTATATAGAAGTCTGTTAGTTATTATAAATATACAGGATACAGTAAATATTTCACAGTTGTAATAAAGACTATATAGAACTCTGTTAGTTATTATAAATATACAGGATACAGTAAATATTTCACAGTCGTAATAAAGAGTATATAGAACTCTGTTAGTTATTATAAATATACAGGATACAGTAAATATTTTACAGTTGTAATAAAGACTATATAGAACTCTGTTAGTTATTATAAATATACAGGATACAGTAAATATTTTACAGTCGTAATAAAGAGTATATAGAACTCTGTTAGTTATTATAAATATACAGGATACAGTAAATATTTCACAGTCGTAATAAAGAGTATATAGAACTCTGTTAGTTATTATAAATATACAGGATACAGTAAATATTTTACAGTCGTAATAAAGAGTATATAAAACTGTGTTAGTTATTATAAATATACAGGATACAGTAAATATTTCACAGTCGTAATAAAGAGTATATAGAACTGTGTTAGTTATTATAAATATACAGGATACAGTAAATATTTTACAGTTGTACTAAAGAGTATATAGAACTCTGTTAGTTATTATAAATATACAGGATACAGTAAATATTTTTTACAGTTGTAATAAAGAGTATATAGAACTCTGTTAGTTATTATAAATATACAGGATACAGTAAATATTTTACAGTTGTAATAAAGAGTATATAGAACTCTGTTAGTTATTATAAATATACAGGATACAGTAAATATTTCACAGTCGTAATAAAGAGTATATAGAACTCTGTTAGTTATTATAAATATACAGGATACAGTAAATATTTCACAGTTGTAATAAAGAGTATATAGAACTCTGTTAGTTATTATAAATATACAGGATACAGTAAATATTTTACAGTTGTAATAAAGAGTATATAGAACTCTGTTAGTTATTATAAATATACAGGATACAGTAAATATTTTACAGTTGTAATAAAGACTATATAGAAGTCTGTTAGTTATTATAAATATACAGGATACAGTAAATATTTCACAGTCGTAATAAAGAGTATATAGAAGTCTGTTAGTTATTATAAATATACAGGATACAGTAAATATTTCACAGTTGTAATAAAAAATATATAGAACTCGTTAGTTATTATAAATATACAGGATACAGTAAATATTTTACAGTTGTAATAAAGACTATATTGAACTCTGTAAATATTTTACAGAGTATATAGAACCCTGTTAGTTTCTGCGACATACTTTTCAACGGTAACCTAAAATATGCTAAATTACCTAGTTTAATGTACCTTTCTATATATTTACCGTGGCATACTTTTTTTTCACATAATTATAACTTATAACTAATAATACAATATAGCTTACATTATGAAAATAACAGTATTAATTCAACCACTCACACACTCAACCTGATTATTTTGAAGCTGTAATGTTGTAAAAGGAGGTAGATCTATATTGATATACTCTTTTAGGTAATTACATTAATGGTTAGTTTAAAAGCTATAATATATAGTTCCATCTTCTAGTGACAGTATCCTCCTTTTCAAAAGCCTTTTATTCAAGATTTGCTATATTTTGTAAGTGACGTTTGAAATTATGTATAGTAGGCAATGACAATTCTAATTTACATTTATACAAATAATATTTTGCACTGTAAATACAACTATTTACAAACAACCATTCGTATATGTTTTTGAAAATAACTTTGATCATTAAAACCAAAATGTATGTCTATCATAGTAATTTTTAAATTGATATTATTATTAATAAAGACTAATTGTAAATTCCCAAATTATATTAGCAAATGAACAGTAAATAAAAAGAGGTTCTATTGTCTCGATTGTTGAATTACACAACGCACATAAACTGGTGTTGCTTAGTTTTAGCTTACATAATTTTTCATTCAAAAAGACAATATTGTGACAATATTTATATTGACAATTTTGAAGCTTAGAATTTTTACACAGTTCTAATATTTTTTAAATATATTTATTATAAATTCGTCTGAGAATGTTTCACTTAGGAGCGTCTGCCATTTGATTATTCCATAAGGACATTTATATTTTTGTTTATATTTGATATAAACATACAGGTAAAAGTGTTAGTATATTAGTTTGTATTTCTATTAGAAATGTGAATTATAAATATTATATTAAAGTGAAGCTTACCTGTAATTATTTGATATTACCATACAGGTAACAGTGTTACTATATTAGTTTGTATTTCTGTTAGAAATGTGAATCATAAATATTATATTAAAGTGAAGCTTACCTGTAATTATTTGATATTACCATACAGGTGAAAGTGTTAGTATATTAGTTTGTATTTCTATTAAACATTATCCAACACTTCGGATTCACACAAACTGTAGCTGAACCAACACGTTGTACAGAGCACTTAGCAACTCTTCTAGATGTTGCATTGGTAACCGACACTAATCTAGTTTCGGAGACCATTGTACATAAAACTGGTATTAGTGATCACTGTCCAATAGAACTTGTATTAAATCTTCCTCGACCAGAAAATACAAGTTTCAAGCGTACCATATGGAATTATAATGAACTCGATGTAGATGCAATCAATAACTTCCTTTCTGCAACAGACTGGGTAATCCGTGAGCGCGATACTGTGTGGATGAATGGCTACATCAGGCGAATAATTCGCAATAGGAACAGACTTCACAATAAAGCAAAGCAGACAGGTTCACCAAACCACTGGAAAAATTTCCGCTCTTTTAGGAACTTTGTCATTGCAGAGGTCCGAAGAGTAAAACAGGACTTCTTTGACAATCTCGATGGTAAGATAAGTCTGGGCCATTTCCAAGAAAAAAATTGGTGGAAGCTTGTCGAAAACGTAGTCTTTAGGAATAGTTCATCAAAACATTTTCCTCCACTCCTAATCAACAACCAAATTGTCCAAGAAGACAAAAAAGGCCTGTGGAAAAGATAACATAACAAATAAGATTCTTAAATGTTGTAGTCCATCTATTACAATTCCTTTGTGTACTCTCTTTAACTTCTTGCAGGACCAATGCTGCTTTCCCACCATATGGAAGCAAGCCAACATCATTCCAATATATAAGAAAGGTCATGCTAGCATCTGCTCAAATTATCGCCCGATTTCTCTCCTCAGCACTCTGGGAAAGGTATTTGAAAAATGCATCCATAAATATCTAAACAATTTTCTCCGGCAACAGCAAATACTTTCTGTCTCACAATCAGGGTTTACAGAAAATGACTCTTGCACATACCAGCTTATCAATATATACAACGATAGATGGAGTAGCCTTGGTGAAGGTCTCGAAACTAAAGCTGTATTTTTTGATATAAGCAAAGCTTTTGACCGCGTATGGCATGCAGGCCTCATTTACAAGCTCCAGTCAGTAGGCATAAGAGGTAAAATGCTTTTGCTTCTCAAAGATTATCTCTCTGAAAGGGCACAATCTGTGGTTATAAGAGGCTCAACCTCAAGCTCGTCATCTGTTCAAAATGGAGTCCCACAAGGGTCGGTGCTTGGACCTCTTTTATTCTTGATATATATAAATGATATCACCAGTGACATCAAATCTAACACCCGCCTGTTTGCAGATGACAGGTCACTGTTCATGGCCATAAATGACCCGACAGAATGCAAAACCCTTCTAAACAATGACCTTAAAACCATCAGCAATTGGGCAAGCTCTTGGAATGTTGTCTTTTGCGCAG